CTGGATAAATGCTACAAACTGTCCTATATTTCTTCCTTGCCCACCAGGAGATACTCTCTGAAGAGAAGTCCATCTTTAACTACCTATCATGCCTCTTCTCCTTTGTGGGATGATGAGTCAGTCTTCATTAATTCTCAAATTATGGTTAGGTTTGTGTCACATTTCTGTACCTCATAGTAGGCATCCAACTCAGAAATATTAACTTGTCTCTCAAGCTGGCTGGTCTCAGGTATGGTTCTAGGAAAGGAGGAGTTCTAATATGATTTTCATCCATTTTCTTTAAACTCAAGAAAAGTTGTCACTGGGAGCTATTTCTCTGGTCTTTGGGGTTATCCTTTTCTAGACATGCAGCCAATCAATCTTTCAAGCAGTATGTTTTTAATTCGGGCTTTGCTGTGCATTCACCCAATTCATACTACACTCTGCATCTCACTCCTCAGCTTACATGCACTCAGGCAACTATTACTTGACTTTGTTGGTGCTTTCCTTGGCTCAACATCCTGATTTTTCATTTCTCCTCAGCAGAATTGGCATTCTATAAAACTTTGCTTCTGACTGTACCTTCTCTCCTACATAGCTATACCATGTCTGTTATTTGAACATAAGACAGAAAGAAGAAAATAAAGGAAATCATTTTTAGCATTAAAAAGGAATGTTTAGTCCAAAGAGACATTCCAAGCGAGAAAACAGAAAACAAAACAAAACTTCTCCCCAACAAATGAACAGTTGATTCAAGGAACTGAAGAGTTCACTAAATTTTTGGTGCTAATTAAACAAAAAGTAATTGTTAGTGTTCTGTCTCCCTGTTGGCCACTATGTAAAGGAACAAGCTACATACAAGAACACACTTGCCTGGGAATGTCATTTATTGGACCCCCTGCCTCCCTAAGGGGGTTTTACATCTTTCACAGTCTCATATTATAAGGGAGAAACTGTTTCTTACGTTACCTTCTTTCACCTCATTCCACAGAAAATCAGTCTGTGCTTTGCTTATCAGGAGGAAGAAAATGAAAAAAAAAAAAAAACCCCTTCTCTACATACTTTTCTATAGCTTACTTTTCTGTACCTAGTAAATTGGAATAAGAAGAACACACCAGGTGGATTAAGGTGAAAGGAAGTTGAAGATGATAGGAAAAGTGTGTGTGTGGGGGGGGAAGTTGAAGATGATAGGAAAAGTGGGGGGGGGTGAATGAAAATATGATAATGATCTGCAAACTTCAACTCCTTGACTTCTCTTTCATGTAGAAATTTATATCCACACACACATATTGTATAACACAGATAGACGTAAATAGAATTCAGGATAGAAAAATTTCAAGCCCACACATAATGTAAAAAAAATGACACAAATTCACATCACATGCCTTTATTCCCTATTGCTATTTTCTTCACATTCTTCAAACCTTCTCCAGCTTTGAATAATAATAATAATAATAATAATAATAATAATAATAATAATAATAATAATAATAATTTCCAATCTGAAAAAGATGCCCTCTGTTTTGTCCTCATTTCACAAGACAAAAAAAAAAAAATACAGCTGATCTTTTAAAGATCTTTTAAAGATCCTTCCTGTTCTTAATTAGCTGTTTAGAATTTGAGGTGTTTTTTTTAAAAGATTTTATTGAATTTTATAGGGTTAGGGATAGAATAGGATCAGGATAGGGATTAAGGTTTAGGGTGGGGTTAGGATCAGGGTTGGGATGAGGACAAGGTTAGAAACAACATTGAGATTATCCCCCAATAACATTTTCAATTTTCGGCAAACAGACTACTGTCCGGGTACATATGTTCAATTAACAATAGTTGATATAGTAATAAATAATTGTAGTAAATGTACTAATCAATAATCGCAAGCAGTATCAGTTAGTCAATGCATATCATTTTTCTTACTAATATATATTCAAAATAACATATCACATATCTTTATGTGATATCTTTAAAGGTCAGCAGTGAGACCTTCCTGTTCTTAATTAGCTGTTTAGAATTTGAGTTTTTGATGGTTTCTACTCATTCTCTAGATTGGCAGGTCCAGGTTAAGTTTCCTTTAGCTTTTTTGTGCCTGAATCTTTTAGATATGATATTGTCCCTTTCCCTAAAAGTGAATTAAGGTATAGTAATGCCACTTAATTGCCCTCTAGATGTATGGACTTCAGCTCCCACCCATAAACAACAATAGCCATACTTGGTGGGAATTCTGGGGGTTGAACTCCACATACGTTAAGAGCACTCAGGTTAGGAAGGCAGTGCTATGACATTATACAGGTAATGCACACTCAGAACTAATTAAAACAAATGTTCAAGTCAGTAGAACTGCATTGTTAATGTTGAAGACTTGTTCTAATTCTCACCAGAAGTTCAATGATTGGCTTGACTCTGCATATTAAAGTTCTTTACATCCATTCAAAAAAAAAAAATAACAAAAAACCAACCCTCCTCTTCTGAACTGATGGTTTAGAGCAGGGGTGTCAAACTCGTAATGTCACATGACGTGTCACGACATATCATGACTTTTTTTCCATTGCTGGCACCCCTAGGTTAGAGATTTGCTAATAAAAACTGATGAAGCCAGAGAAAATTAAACTGATGCTTGTAAAACTGACAAACCATTTCAACTTAAAGCATGTTAATCCAAGGAATATGATAAAGCACCTTTTTTTTTAAGCAAAGACGTTGGAATTGGTCACTACTTATATGCTATGCCAGGGGTCTTCAAACTTGGCCCTTTTATGACTTGTGGACTTCAACTCCCAGAATTTCTCAGCCAGGCATGCTGGCTGAGGAATTCTGGGAGTTGAAGTCCACAAGTCATAAATGGGGCAAGTTTGAAGACCCCTATGCTATGCTATTTTGATGAACTGGGTATATTCTTTCAGTGCATTGACATTGTGCTTTGAATATGGTGGGAAAGAATCAGAATATAAATATACTAAAGAAACAAATGAAATATAAGAAGAAGCCATGCTGAGCTCTAAGAGAAGGTGTTCAGATTGATGACTGACATTTTCCTTCCTTCCATTAAAAATCATTGACTATATTGTAGGGATATGCAGAAATGTAGTTGATACTTTAATTGGTATTTAATTTACAGTTCCTCAGTCTGCATGTAAAACAGAAAGTCCTTATCTTTCACTTTTTCTAAACCAAAACTAAAGATGAAAATATGAATACTGTAATCTGCAGAAAAATAACTGTATACTATTGGTGAAAATAGCTTGTCAAATTGGTTGTGTTTAACCGTGATTGTATAGAATGAGAACAATACATTATATGTATAGCATAGGAGAAATTTCCACAAAAACAACAACAACACTGGAAACATTTTAAAGTTAATCTCCCAATTTGACTGTACAAATATGAGAGAAAAGGAGAAAGTTGAGTAAAGATGTATTGTGATAACATTTTAAAGGGCATACTAACATTCTTTAAAAATAACACTATATTGTTCCTCTCTGATGAAAAGTTATCTTGGTCCTACAGAAGAAATTCTAAATATAGCAAACTCTAAGAGAAAAGGGCAGCTTGTTTCTCTTCCTGTACAGTCAATCATAAAAAAGAATAATGATGGCAGGTAATTCATGAGACACAGTTGGGGCTACCAGAGTTGGGCTGCAAAAATTTGAGATGACCACTATATGGCAGCAAACAAGGCTTTCTTGTATGCTGCTGATATCATCTAGAGCAGTGGTTCTCAACCTTTCTAATGCCGCGACCCCATAATATAGTTCCCCATGTTGTAGTGACCCCCCAACCACTTATACATCACCGGGTGCCAGAGGCGTGGCCAAACAAAAGGGGAAAAAAATGGCGGACAGCCTTGTTTGGCGACCCCCGTGAAATGGTAATTCGACCCCAAATGGGGTCCTGACCCACAGATTGAGAATCACTGATCTAGAGATCATCTAGAATCGATTATCACTACCTAAACTGAATCAGAAGGCTTAATTTCATACTGAATTGTGGAGAAAGATTGCAGCATTCAGGTATTCTTAGTGGATTTCTCTGTTGCATTTTTTAAAAAAATCTGGCTTCTGTGGGAAGCTGATGGTCTATTAAATGGATCTTCGGTTTGGTACCACATGATCAAGGGTGAAAAATAAATTTAAATTCAGAGAGTTATTTTATATAATAGTTTATAGCACTTAGCACTTAGACTTGTATACTGCTTCACAGTGCTTTACAGCCCTCTCCAAGCAGTTTTTACAGAGTCAGCATATTGGCCTCAACAATCTGGGTCCTGGGTCCTCATTTTACCAACCTCAGAAGGATGTAAGACAGTCAATCTTGAGCCGCTGAGGGTTGATGGCAGTGAGTAGTGAGTTAGGCTGCGGTCCTGCATTCCAACCACTGTGCCACCACGGCTCTTTTTATGTAATTATTGCGTGAGGGTCAATTTTTAAAGCACTGGAAGTTTTTGTTTAATATAGTGAATGTTATGAAATTCTACTCTAATTTCATCCAGGAGAGGGCTATGTAGCATTTTGAATTCAAAAGCAAAAATGTGCTTCAGAATTTGTGAGGAAGCTTACATAGCATCAGCAGTTAAGGGCATCCATGGGGAAGCAATGATCCCATAGACCAGGGGTCTTCAAACTCGGGCCTTTTATGACTTGTAGACTTCAACTCCCAGAATTCCTCAGCCAGGCATACTGGCAGAGGAATTCTGGGAGTTGAAGTCCACAAGTCATAAAAGGGTCAAGTTTGAAGACCCCTGCCATAAACATTGAGATGTCACAAAAGAAAATCTGCCCTTTCATCTTCCCACTGTGGCCTGCATAGAAAAAAATTTGTGTCAAGACATATTTGGGCAAAATCTTGCCTGCAGCTCTTTAAAACAGCTGTATCTTTCCTGACATGCTCCAAAGCAGGTTTTGGTGTTTGAATCCAAAATTATCTATATTCCATTTTTTTTAAAAAAAATGACTACTTGTTCTTTTTAAGGGCAAAGGATGTAGTTGCAGCTGTTTTCTTGTTACTCTGTTCTCTCCATTATTTTCCAGCCTCCCTGGCTACTTCTGCTTCCTGATCTGAAAAAACTGCATGGGTGGCATGATAAATCCCACAGAAATCCTTTGGGCTTCAACTGAAATGAGCGATGTCAGAAAGGCAGCAGACCCCGAAGAGAGTGTTGCACAACCATAGAAAGGGACTATCACACATCTTGGACCTCTTGTAAATAAGGTATGTCTCCCCCCTCCCCCTGTGAAATTTTACATTGGTTTCTCTTATATTTTGCATGTCTGAATTGCTGAAGTTATATAGTTGTTGGGAGTTATAAAAAAATACTCTGGTTTATCTTCAGATCACATAAATGTTTTGAATTTGAACAAAGTTAGCAGTGAACTGTGGAGGCTTGAAGTAAACCATTGTTTAGCTAAGAGTTTGACTTCTTCAAGGTAGTTCTCTACTTACATTCAGAGTCATAACCATAGAGATAAAAGTCCTTGCACTTATGTCCAAAGTCACACAATCAAAGTTCTGATGCTCAGCAAATGACATGCATTTAGGATGATTGTAGCATCCTGGGGTTGTGTGATCATCATTTGTGACCTTCCCAGCCGGTTTCTGACAAGCACAGTCAGTGAGGGAAAGGATTGGCTTAATGACTGCATGATTCACTTAACAGTTTTAATAATAAAGATTTAAAATCAGGCATGATTCATTTAACAACTGCCTTCTTAGTCTCTAGTTTCAGTGATGGTTGTAACTCAAGGACTATCTGTGAACTGTAAACCTGTGGTTATCTTCTCATATACTGCAATTTAATATGGCTGTAGATATAACATTTTCCTTCCCGCCCCCAAGGTTTGGTTAGGTTTATCCCTTTTGGTTTTAATAACATATACATATAAATTATACAATATATAATGTAATCCTATAATTATATGATTGTTTTTATATATGCATTGTTTTATTACATTTTTGGATTATTGCACACCAACCACAGTCACCTTTGGTAAGATGGGTGACCATATAAATCTAATAAACAAACAAGTTGGATTTTGAGATACTATAAGCTGGAGAAGGTAGCAGGTCAGACAGTGTAAACAACCTGTGACTCCAGATTTGATTGCCATTCTAGACTAGTCTAGACTAGTCCTTGCTCTAAATATGTGTCATGAAGCTAAGTGGCTTTCTGCCTTTTCTTGAAAACAGAGGCATTTTTCTTTCTAGGCAGAACAAAGAGGCATATTCACTACAAATATTGGGGTTTACTCCGAGGTGAATTTTTATAGTCACCTTTTTTATTATTACTAACAAATAACAAATAGCACTTAATTTAATTTTCTGTAAAAAAAAGAATACACAAACTTATAAAAGAAAAATAGGAAAAGCAGTAAAACAAAAAATAAAAGCACACAAGATATGTATATGCAGACAAGTATGTATCAATAAATTGATGCTATGATTCATTACAGTTAACCATATTTGGAACACAAGAACTAATAGTCCCAAAAGATTTTAAAGGCTACAAATTATTCCTAAATGTGCTGTCCTGAATTTGCATGGAGTAGGTTTTGTTTCGTGGACATTGAGTGATCTAGATGCCCTTTGTTTTGTATCTTGAATAAGGAATAGAGGATTTCAGGCTGAATCTGGTGTTTCTTGGCAGATGTTGGACATGAATCTTTGATGGGGAAAATTAAAGTTTTCTTGCACTTCCAATTAAGTGGGAGTGTGTTATATAAGAACACAATAGTAGACCATGTTCTTGCTTCAAACGCTTCTTATTTTGGCTTATTTTGACAAGCTACGAAGTTTGGTACTTTTCAAACAATGATCAGACATGCAGTATAAGTACTTAGTTATTATTTAATCATTTTCTAAATGAAAAAAATATGTGAAGGAGAATTATATTTAATGAAGATATGTATGTATGTGAAGATGACAGTGTTTTCATCTTTCTGACTAATATGTGCCCTTTTCTTGTACCTGCAAAAATCTAGAGTGCAACCCAAATTTAGCAATTTTAAGCTCCTGATTACAGTGGGAACATGTAACTTTGGCTAGATTATGATTCCTTTTTGTGTAGGCATAATATTCTCTCTTCCAAAATACTTACCAGTTAAAACCATCTAAACTTCTTTTATTGTAGCATTTTCTCAAGATGTATTTCAAGCATGTACTACATTTTTTTATTGCAGTATTTTCTCATGATGAATTTTCACTCACTGGTATAATATTATGAAGCCTGAGTAGGAATGGATCCTCAGTTTTCCAACTGTTTTTTTCATAGTTCCCTGTGTACTTCTTTTTACAGGTATAAAATATTTTCTATCAACTCACTTGTATAGCCATCATAACAGACAATACTTCCAAAGCCTACTTGTATGATTTATTTTCCCACAATCTAAAGCTCTATCCATATTCTAGAAGACTTTACACACACACACACACACACACACACACCATCTTGCTTCCCTAACCCTGTCCTCCTACCCAAATTTCCTTAATGGTACCTCCTGCTCTACACATTTACTGCCCCCCCTTCTTTTCTCATGGGTAAAACTTGCTGTTTATTTTGATTTGTCACAAATACTAGGTGTTGTTTGAAAAGTGTTAAACTTAGCAGGCCCATACAGATAATGGGAGATGGGTCACCGGCTGTGATAAAGAGTAAGATATGGTGGGAGTTAACCTGAAATGCTTACCAAGCTCTCTGATTCTCCTCATCTGCAGCCTGTCGGTTAAGGACACTGTAAATATATGATCTGGTTTGGTATTAAGATGGTGCTTTAAAAATAAACTCATATTCAGAGGCCAAACATTTTTTGAAATGTTTTGTACTGAAGCCCAAACCAGACTACTGATGAAAGTGGCCTGTCTATAAATGTCATTCTTATAGAATATTGACATCCATCAACCACAACCATGTATAAAATAATGGCAGAGCCAGAAAGTGGCCAAGGAGACTGAATCTTCTATTTCTTTGGATGCAGTATCGCTGCCCTACCTAAAGATAGGTTCCTGAGCCTTTTCCAAGCCAGCAAGATATTTAAACCATTATTCCTTTTGTTTAATTGTGTCCAATTCTCAGAGGAGTCCTAACTTTGGCAAGATTTAATGGTCTTCTGACAGCTATTCTTGAGGAGAAACTGAGAATATCCAGTTTCAATAAAGAAGAAGTTATTGAAGTTATTGAAACAAGGCACATGTTGTTACATTGCCCTTAATACAAAGATGCCCAATTGTAGCTAATAATTTCCCCTCTAGTCAGATTTCCAAGCCACACAGATTCATTTTGGTGGCAGTAATTGGTGTCCAAACAATGTGATTTTATTTCTCTAAATAAAGTTTGGTTTCACTCTTTGTAAAATGCATTGATTGATCATAAGCTTCCAAGCTCCAAAGATTTCTTTGGGAAGAAAATTGGTTTGGTAGCTCAGCAGTCGCTGTGGGAATTATAGGGCAGAATTCTGCATTAAAACTACATGTGGAAAGCTCTATGTATAAGCCTTAGTTTACTTACATCTCTTTCTTTCTTTCTTTCTTTCTTTCTTTCTTTCTTTCTTTCTTTCTTTCTTTCTTTCTTTCTTTCTTTCTTTCTTTCTTGTTCAGCCTTTATTATTTTTTATAAATAACTCAAGGTGGTAAACATACCTGGTAGTCCTTCCTGCTATCTTTCCCACAAAAACCCTGTGAGGTGTGATGGACTGAGAGAGAGGGAAAGAGACTGGCCCAAAGTAATCCAGCTCATTTTAATGCCTAGGGAAGGATTAGAATTCACAGACTCCTAGTTTCTAGCCTGATGCCTTAATGATTAGACCAAACTGTCTCTCTGTCATCTATCATCTTCATTATATATGATGTTCCAGCTTTCAACTTGCAAGGAACCTGCAAGTAGAAAGCTAGGTCGTACTCCTGTAAGATACTACTTTATCATATGCTCCTGCTAAAAAAATTGAAATGGTTTGGGTAGAGTTTTTTCTTTTAAGTACATGTCTTTGCAAAGAAGTTATTTACCCCTTTGCCTCTTCTATTCCTTTTATTGTAGACAAGACATGTGATGCATATTTAAGAGCATCCCTAATTCAAATTCCAGCTCAGTTCAGACAAGCTAATATATCTCAGCTCCAGACCTCTTGCTCAGTTGTTAATGCCAAGTTGACGTAAAATAAATCCACTCTGATCAGCTGAGCCAACTGCCATTCATTGCTCAGGGTAAGCCCCTAAATTTCTTTCATGCCCTTTAAATGCAAACAAAGTGTGGCTTAAAAATGTTCCTACTATGTTTATGAGATAATGAGTCCAAAGTCTGAATTTCTACTAAGTCTTTGTGTGCCCAGTCCATGACCTCATATAATCTGTGTAGTCCTTACAACCTTAATAAAGATGGGATGGTCTGTTTTAATTTCTAGCTTAATGAGGTAAACTTTTAGCAATTCTCAGGATTAGAGAAATTTGTAACCAGTAGTCCTTATTTTGCCCATATGTTCTTGGGAGACAGACTATAGACTCAAGAAAAATTTTCTTCTGAATAAAAGTATTAAGGATTACCTTATTAAATAACACAGGCAAAATGCTTAAAAGATCCACTAGATGCATGCTGAGCTAAATCATCTACCTTTATTGCAAAGCACTGTGAGCAACCTCAAGGTTTTTACAGGTTAGGCTAGACCCAAGTCAAGGACGAACAGAATAATACAATCTGCTTTTCACAGTGTCCCCTATCCAGCTATTATAATAGTTTCAACACAGACATTTTTGCTCTTCTAAGGCAAATTTGTTCTTTTTCACTTGCATAAAAATATATGTCAAGTTTCTATTTTGCACAGATAAACATTCGATGTCATCCAACCTTGTTAACCAATCAGTGCATTGCCAAATAGCAATTTGTTTGAGAAAGAGTAATTAGAAATTTGAGCCAATCTGCTGAAGGATCAAAATTCTATGAACAAAACATTTGGTGGCCTTCTGGTTTATAACTCTCCTAGCAGAGCAATTGTATAAATTAGTGTACCGCAAGCAAGATATAAATCAGTCCTCTTTATGAAACTTGCCTGCCTGCTGATTTAAAGGAAAATGGAAAATCATTCTTGTTAAATATACAAAGGGAATCTGATCAAGTACCATGGGCCTGTGCACTTCAATTTAAATTTCAGGCTCAGGTTAGTGCAGAAAAAAATCAGACAGAAATTCCATGTTTTGTGGGCACTATCATAGTGATTATTTGTTTATCTTGTGTTACATGAATTCATTTATGAAATATGGCACAAAATATTTGTTAAGATGATAAATAGGACATCTGTAGCAAGATAAGTTGTATATTACAAATGGCTAATGAGGATTGTGTGGCATGAGAGATGGGGCCACAAAGTAGTGCTTTATATCCCACAGGAAGAATTAAAAACACTTCTTGGCAGGAGAATGGGAAGCAAAGAAGAGGGCGGAGACAAGAAAGGAGCAATTATCTAAGTGTGTTCTTTCAGTTTAATCCTTGCAGTCTTTGGAACTTAAAACCTTCTGATCCTGTGTTCCATATTCACACCATCATGGAATATAATGCCATGACAATATCCATCATCTAATTTTTCAAACTTTTATTCTGCCAAAGAGGCTTCTGTTCTCCTCAAAAGAATGTCATAAGATACATGTCAAGTACACCATTTGATGTGTATTTGAACTCATTTTATTGAGGCACGTTACAAAGAGTGTGCTACCACTTGTGATGGCATTTTCTGTTACCTGTCTTCCCATCATCCTGAAGATTCCCTGACTGCTTCAACCTACCATTATTGTTTTTTTTTTTGGAGAGAAGGGGATAGAAATAATTCTTTTCTTAGCATATAACTGAACCAAAGAAGCCATGGATTACCGATGAGTATAATGACTATAGAATAAAAGACAGGACATTTATAAATGCTTCATGACCACCTAATAATGAAATCCAAAAAGCCACTACTATACTCACCCAGATACAATGGAAATCTCTTGTCCTGTGAAATAAAATACAACAAACAAACAAACAAACAAACAAACAAACAACTCTTCAATTTCAATGAGGAAAATAGGCAAGGATTTTTTTCTCCATAGTATTAAGTCAAACATTCAGAACTGATTTTTAAATGTGCTGTTTACACTTTTGTTATATTCTAACCATTAGCAAGTACTTTCAAAACCCCTTGTCTTCTTCAGCCATGGTTTCCTTTCCTTCTTTAAAGGAAACTTGAGCTGGACATTCCTTCAAATAGTTTCTCTAAGGAAAACCAAACATTTCTTGGCCTGACCATCATAGATTACTGGGGTTGTTTTTAGGAAAATGTCATTGGCTGATTTGCTTTGCACCAAATGTTGAATGAACAGTAGTAAGTATAACACACCAAGCACAATTATGAGGGACACCAATGTCTGTATATTAAGAACAAAAGCTATAATGGAACTCAATACAGTTAAAGCATTTATCGACAATCTCTGTTCTGTTAACTTGTACTTTATTCTGGTTGCCTGGAAAACAAACAAACAAATAATAAAATCCATTCTTGAGGGAGAATAAAGGCCAAATACAAAAATTCAATATGATCAATGTGATCGCAACAATTACATATGGCATAAGCTATAAGGTGTCACATGGCTCTTCCTTGTTTTAACTGCAAAAGATGAGCTTACATTACACAGAAAGGCAAGTGGAGCAAAGCAGAAAGGCCACTTCACTCTTACAAGGAAATCTGCATTGCTTCATGAAACAGCTCCTAAGGAAAACTCTCAAATTGTAACCAAAGGGAAGCATCCCCTTTCAAATAACTACACAGCTTTCTAAAAGCTTTTGAGTAAGACACATCTTTAAATTGTGCCATATGCCACTTGGGATTACTAAGATACATATCTGAATTTACTCCAGCCTCTTGACTTCAGTTAAAATATTCTCTGCCAGACATAAGGACCTTTCTGAGAGCTATTAAGTTATAGCACATTAACATTAACATCATTTTGGGTTATTAGCAGCTGAGCAATTCACCATTTAAAATTTGCCTGGATGACAAACATGTCATTGAAGGTCTTGGGATCAACAGCATTGTGCCTTTTTAACGACAGGTTACATCATTTTGAAATGGACGAGTTTGCACTTTTCCGCTCATTTGGCACATTTTCTCAACGGCCTTTACAAAACGTGTGACAAGGAATGACATAATGATGTGCTGGGGCTATTTTGATTAAATCAAGCTTATTTTGATAACTTTCAATGCAGATAAATGTTAGTTTTATTTAAGGCACATATGCACTTAGTGATGCAACAAAATAATTTACAGTGGATGGGGAAACTCTAAGCCTACAGAATCTCTTCCCCCCCCCTCACCAGAATCCAAACTGAGTGTAAAATATGAGGACTAAGCAGAACTTTAAAATGATGTCTTGCTGTCAGCTGTGTCAGCAATGCCAGACAGGATGTATGGCTGGATGAACTAATTCTGTTTTACTGTAAAGTTTCATTAATATAATCTTGCAAATCTAAAAATACTTTTGTTCCCCATTAATTTTACAGCCCAGGAAACTAGGGAGGCCATTTCTGAGACATTTGCCATGCCCATGTTACTACTATGTGCTTAGCTGCTTCTTACCTGGCTATTCTCCTGGCTGTGACTCTTCCTTTGTGTCCAATGGTGGTTATTGCACACAGTTACAGATGCTCTATCAGATATCTAAGTGACATGGGCTCTGTGGGAGTGACCTGCAAAGTTAAGTTGTGCCTCTATTTTACCCAGCAGAACAGAATGGTCACTTGTTTAGGTAGATGACTTCCGGAGGTCACTGAACTCCTACTGTTCGAGGTTTATGGGACTTGTCTCAGTTCATGATTGAGTTGAAGAGCTACATTCCTATGTGCCACTTCAAAGTGGAGCTGTGTCCATCAGAAGGCAAATAGTCTGAGATTGCTACATCTCAATGTGTTTCTATAGTGGGTATCAAAAAGTCAAGAGGATGACCATAATTATCCTCTTGACTTTTTAAAGCTCTCCCCTGCATGTAGCCTTGAAATATGGCTTGGCAGATGATGAAGAGACATCCTTTTATTATTCATAGGAGCCATGGTGGCATAGTGGTTAGAATGCAGTATTGCAGGCTAATTCAGCTCACTGCCAGGAGTTCGATCCTCACCAGCTTAAGGTTGACTCATCCTTCCATCCTTCCAAGGTCTGTAAAATGAGGATCCAAATTGTTGGGGGCAATATACTGACTCTGTAAACCACTTAGTGAGGGCTGTAAAGCACTGTGAAGCAATATGTAAATCTGAGTGATATTGCAATTCATGATAAAGAAACTTCTGATTACATGTTCTAACAGGGATATGGTGTTTGTATCCAAATGCAGATATTCAGCATACAAAAACAAAGTAAGCCTTGCTTTCCCTCAAAACCTTTATCCAGTTTAATTGTTGAAAAGTTTGGCATTGTTTTGAGGGCTACCAATAAAACTTGACTTACTTCCTACCCACCCCTGCTTTAAACCTATCAGTTCATTCACAATAATTGGCAAAATAATAAATTTTAGGATATTTTTGATTTTTTTTTTTTTGCAAGTTGTAATACTTTGTGTGGATAGTTTAGGAAACAGTGTGAAGTGAGATATCTTTGTAGAGATAATGAAAACAACTGTTTATAGAACTGAGTCTCTCTCCCCCCCCCCACATAATAATGCCACTGATATAAACGTTATCTTCCTGTGGTATTTCAGAAAGTTTTTAAAAAAGTATTGGAAGAGGAAATTAAAGTAAAACAGGTGAAGTGAAGCAACACAGCCACTTTTATTTTCTCTTAAAATGAGAGGGCTTTGTGTTTTGTGAATCAACTTTACACACACATACAGGCACATACAGAAATAGTGAAGCATTTTATGTGTATGTGTCTCTTTTTGTCTACAAATGTATTGCTTTTGTGAGAACCTAGAAGTAATTGTTTCCATCTCATCTTGAGGCTGAAATATTACCAACACTAATCATAAATATATTATAAAAACAGTCCATTCAGGAATATCAGTATTTGTAACTATATTGAAGAATTAATACTTAAAGGCATACAAATTGTTTTGTCACAGGAATTTCTCATCTATGAAAATTACACATAGAAGAACTGTAGCTGAATGATATGGTTCAAACCTTAGTTGTGGATGATTCCAAGTTTGCCTCTGTCAATAATCAGATGGAAAATGATGTGTGAGAAAGGAGAGATTTCAAGGAATGACTGATGATCAAATTAGGTAATGCTACTCTTAATTCAGATCACAGGACAAACCCTTTACTTTCAGCAAATAGGAGAATTGATATTTTCTGTAGAAACACAGGCAGCTTCAGCCTGGTATGCAGCCAAACTACTTTTGTAATTCAGTATAAATGTCAACCATATCCTCACAATGCTAACATACTTACAGTCAAAGGTCCTATGTAGGTTCATTCATAAGGAGTCAATGATACAAAAGGAGAACTGACTGTGTTAATTAACATGGGTAGGATCAAGTTTGGATAAATATCCATTTCCTCACAGGAACCAGAATTCAGTCCTAATCTGTTCAGATTGAAACTTTATGCAAAGCATCTTTACTATATCTTGAAGTGTCTTTTTGGGGTGGCCCCTTGTAGCAATTCAGGTCAGTACCTTGACTTGAAAAGTCAAATTGCTTTGCTTTTAAGCCTAATTGAAACTACTTAATTCAGACATCTATTTTGATCCAATACAAAGGGGCCACTATTGTCAGATGCAAGTAATCAGAAGCATTTATTAAATTCAAAACACAGAAGAGTTTATTATTGCTACCTCTATACAAGAATCTAGCCAACTAGCAGTCAAAGCTAAATTGGTGCTAAATAAAGGCCAGTATAATTCACAGGGAGCTGGACTTAAGTCTGTTGTGGCAAAGCAATGCTTCCAAACTGATGACATGTTTAGTTCCAACTTCCAGCCTAACTTGGTCTTCTCCTACAATTATACACAAAACCCATAGACAGGAGTTTTGTTAGCCTCTGGATTGAGAGCTTCATGTATTTCTGAAGACTGCTGATTCACTTTGAATGGGATCTTCAGCTGAAGCTTTGTCAAATGGAATTACTTCTTTGGAGCTATGCACAGTCGTGTCTGCAGATAAGGTTCCTATTCAGGATACAAATAGGGTCAAGTCCTTTAAATTCATATAATTGGCAGAGCACAATTCATTTTCTCCCCAAAATAATTCTGAACTATGATCTCATACATCTTGGCCAGCAGATGCAAGAATCCTATCCCCAAATATTCATTTAATATTTGTGGTCTCATATCATCAGTTGAAAGCTGCTTTAATGAGGAAGAAATTACGTGAATGGTCTGGATTCAAGAGATAAGGAAATGTCTTAAGAAGAATTTATTAAAAGCAGTTACAGACTAAATAATTATTGATCTAGTTAGAAACAGTAATAATATTTGTTCTAGTTCTTTCTCAAATTGAGGGAATGGAAGCCTGGCTTACATAAATAATAATCAGACCCAATATGGAGCTATCTTCCTGAACATCTCCAATCAGTATACTTGCTGGAGCATGCTCTTTGTCTCTTGAATCAGAAGTCCACAATCTGAAATATTTGCAATGCCTCCATCATTTTCCTTTGGCAATCCTAATTGTGCTGATTGATTGAACTCAGAATTGCCATGCAATGGAAGGAATTCTGACTATCTTCTATTCTAAAAATGGCAAAATGAATTAATATGTGAAGAAAAAGAGGGTTTGAGTTGTGCTTTTGATATTGCTTGTTGTGACTTGACTGCATTTGGAAAAGGTTGGTTGGTTGGATCTTACCTATTTAATCAACAAAGAAAAGGAGAATTACCCTTCCCTTTAGGGACTATAATCCCGAGTACTTTTTCTGTGGGAATCCATCCTTAATGAAAGCCAATATAGTGTGGTGGTTAGGAAAGAACACTAGGCCTGGAAAGGTCCATATATTTGTCCATCTTAAATCATGGAAGTTCTCTGGATAACTTTGGACCAGACACTCTTTCTTTGCCTCTGTCTTATATCACAATGTTGTGGGTGGGAAAAGGAGAAGGGAGCAATATGTGCCCCAACAAGCTGTTGAATAAAAGGCAGGATGTAAACATCACAAATGAGTCCCCCTTGGTATTGTCTTCTGATGATAAATTGTTTTTATTAATATCCTACCTATGTAGGATGACCAGTTTCCCTAATGTTCTTTCAACTCCAAGCCAGCTAGATTTGCAAAGAAAAACAATATTGAAAATTGGTTTTGAAAAAAAACACGAGCGGATTTTTCTGCTCAGTACTAAATCATACATACTGTTTGGCAAAATTCATCTGCAGTATTTTTTCAACCATTTTTTTTTATCCTTTTGGTGCTTTAGAAACTATTCTATTTCAAGAAAAAGAAGAGAATTTCATAGGAATTTTCATGGATGGACTATTATCTTCTTTCCCTTATATTGTTTGGAGAACTTGAATTGGGCTGGTCTATGTGTTTGGATCAGTGTCCTGTCTTTCTCTCCACAATCATCTCCCCAGTATCCTGCCACTTCCTAGCTTCTGTATTATATTTTAAGGAAACATCTTCTTATATTGAGTTTTTCCTATAGGTGTATTCTTGTCGTTAAAAGGGAATCCTTATCTTCAAAATGACTGGAGAATTTCACATTCCTTCAAAGAAGTTTGGAGAAGTGTACATTAAATTTCTCTGACCACACATTTGACAGACAATTTTGAAAAGCCATATGTATGCAAACTCTATGGTGGATAGTTAACTATGGAAACAAGAAGGCAGCCCGGCAGTCTTGTATGTTGTAATCTTTCTTCTGATCTGTAATGAGGAGTTGGAGACTGAAGGTTTACTACTATAATTCTTGAATGACATTCAGACCATAAGATGCTGCATGCTCATTCAGAATAAGAGGGCCTAATTGTCTGCTCTCAAAGTGACGAGAGACTGCATAAAGGTAGTTTTGTATTCCCACCATTACTGTTAATATGAACCATGTCACATCTCTCTTGTTTGAAGTAGGTTTTTAGAAGCATAATCCATAGAGGGATTACCTTGGAAACACACTCTGAATTTCCAGAGATGATTGGACAGGTCACTAGGCATTCAAGAAAAGGGGGCAGGAGAGACAAAGTGAGGCTGGATGGCCCTCTTACATAGTCTTCCAATGTATGGGGATGAGTCTTGTCAAATAGCATTTTTTTTAAAAAAAGTAGGGTTTTATACAGCATAATACTTAGGGCTCCAAATAAAGCCTTGCAGCCCTAATCCTCTTGTTCAAGAGAAGAACAGGGAAGAAACTTGGATGACGCTTACATGCATAATTAATTTATTATGTTTGAATACAAAATAAATGGTGCATAGTTATGTAAAATAGATTTTTCCTCTATCTCTGCCATTGAGCAGGTAATTTCTACAATAGAAATTTTGAGACACAAAGGGTGAAAACATACATAAGGTTTTCTCCAGTGGAGAATTTTGTTTACCACACACAGTTCATAAATTAAGAATCTGAATCCAGGTGTATCTACGGGAAGGCTGGAAAAAATCAAGAAGGCAGTCAGGGCCATGGAATCCAAACTCCACAACTTTGGGAATATGTGTGATGTTGATGCACATAGAAAAAAAAGGGCTGTGGGGAGACTTCAATCAGAGGGTTGAATCTTTCTTCTTGATTTTGATATCCCTGTAAATGTTGCAGCCGAAACCTGTGAAACTGTACTATGTGCAGATATAATAAATACATGCAAATCACCCCAAGTGTTATTTGCATCCTTAATTTGATTCAGATTACTGAATTGATTCAATCTGAATAGTTGATTTGAAACATGAAATCAAATCAATTGGATTTAAATCATCCATTTGGAAAAAAGTGCTGTTTGTACATTGTCAAATGAATATTAAATTAGACCTAGGGTAATTTAACATTTCAGATAGATGCATCCTTTTAAAAGATTAGAATTAGGAGATTTGATTTAAAGGAATGATTTGTGAAATTACCTGCAAATAGTCACTTCAAATTAACTCTTGGCACAGGCATGCTATAATACATCACAAACTCCCTCTGTCCTTTTTCTATTTCTTCATAATTTTAATAGCAAAGTCCAAGGTTAGTCTGAAGTCTGGAAATTAGTCTACCCAAAGATGCCTGCTATGGTGGAATGGGACAACTCACCATGGCCAACTCGCCATGGCCAACTCGCCATGGGAGAATTCAACAATTCAATTTAATTATTTAAAATAATTTTAAAAATATTTTAATTTTTGTCATTCATATTTTACTTTGTCCTTTCTTTAATGATTTATTCCATCATTTCTTTAATATTAGTGTAACTCTTTCCTGTGGCAAGTTGTCTCACGATAAGTTGGTCATGGCATGTTGTCCCATGGTGAGTTAGCCATGATGAGTTGGCCACAGCAAGTAGTAATAGAACCTCCTATGGTGGCAGCCAGGTTCTTGATTTAACTCAATTCTGTTTTAACATTTTGCTTTATAAACAAACAAACAAACAAAAGCACATCTCAAGCAGAAGCCTAACATATTTATTTACATAGAGGTTATTCTTTGAACATTTTTTTTAAAAAAAACCAAGTGGATTGTTATAACTCAATCTGTTTTTCCTAAGAGTGCCTGGAAAGAATCTAAAGAAGTGATGTGTCAACTCTACAATGAACCTGGCTGAAGCTATCTTGCATGTTCTAGGTTGCCACAAGAAAGGGAGGGAGTGCGGAGTATTTTTGCTAATCTAAACAATAAACCAAGGTCATTCTATCAGTTAGCTTAGCGGGTTGAGCATTTTGTTAGAAAGCCCAGCAAATTATTCTATTGGGGAACGTAGCTGATTGCATAACACTAGGGTGGGATGTTTGACTTTGTAAGAGTGTAACTCTTTGGTGGGATTTCAGACTTGGTTTCACTTTTGACCGTGCTGATATTTTGTAACCAATAAACATGTTCTTTGAGGAAATCTCTGATTTTGTTGGCCTTATCATTGGAATCTTGACATGGTGGTGAGCAGTATTCTCACTTTCTTGCCTTTGGGCTAATGGTTGCTTATTCTGGCCCACTATCGGCACCATTTTGTGAATCTGTGGAATTCCTTTAAAATTACAAATCCATCCCCTGACTGTAAACAGAGTCTACTGGCAAAGACAATAGTAAATAATATTCCATTGAGAGTGAAAGTGTCAAATGACTTCAGTGAAATCTGACCTGTCTTGATGTCCCATACTCTGTAGACAAGGAATGAAGCAAAAGTAATCTTTCTGTGGAGTGAAGGAATAATAGCAACCAGAAGCTTACATAGCAACCATTCTTGTTTATTAACAATTAAGTGCAAATAATAAGATGACGCTAGAATACAAAGGCATCTGCATCTGTAATGTTTTTGTTATTTTGTCTGTCATTTGCTGAATTTAGCAGGAAGGGTTTATGGATGCCAACAGCCCAAGAACCATATATGCAGCAAACTCCCACTTTTCATGTTATTTATAAAACTCATGTGATCATACATGCTGTTGGTAACTTTTTCATCCTGGGCATCTTCAGAATGAACATACTGGCTGTAGCTGAAATTTGTACAGCTGGATGGAGCTCAGGTTGAGGAAAGGATGTTACATTGCAGTGGACTGATTTTGTAATATATTCACCACACAAAAATGTATGCGTGCAAGCACACACACACTTCAGCTTTGCCTACATAAACATGCAGATATTGAAGATCCTGCTCCTATCAGTTTTCACATGTAATTTTCACACAATCAAGTATGTTTCTGACAATTTAATTTTCAGAAATGAGTTTGGGTAGACCAAGCTTCCTGCTTTCTGCTATAGCCTGCCAAGGTCTTTTGGAAAACTGACATCTTTTTTTTTAAATTTAGTTTATATAATTTCTTTCCAGAGAACCAAAGAATCTCAACTTTTGCTTTGCAAAACTTCCTTGTTTTTTGAAGTCTAACAAATTACAATTAAAAAAAAACCCTGTAATTCGTGAGAAGCAACCTAATCTTGGTGCATTTATGTCAAAATTAATTGTGGATTTCACTCAGGAAATATCAATTATTTTCTACAATTCTTGTTTTGTTAAATCCAAGCAAGAGGAGGTTTGGATATACTAAAGAGTACAGTATGCAATCTAATTATCAATGTACATAATCTTCAACATTCCATGATCATAAGGAGATTGATACATTGAAATTTGCTTCTGGATGTGGCTATGATCAATTAAGGTTTCACCTAACACTTTTTAGTAAGACAGAGAAGGCAAGGAGCTCTCAATGTACCTAAGCCATATGCAGTATTCCATGATTCAGTTCTCCAAAGCCCAGTTTTTCCAATCTTGCTTATAATATCCCATGCAAGTTAGGATTTTTAATCTGGAGGCTGCCTTCCAAATCAACATATGTTGCCTACAACTCAACTGCTCAGAAGCACAGGCAGTATACTAACTTACACTCAGTCTGTGTTGAATGTTCATAGAGGATTAAACCACTTAGGAACAAACTTTACAAACTGGGGCCACCTTTTTTTAAAAGGGGGGCATATAGATCTTCCATTAATTGGGGGGCATTTCAATATATGAAAGTTTTAAGATGCTTTAACACTTCTGCTTCCCACCAATTTTCAACTATCTGCAGGCAACATTCCATGCTATGATTTGAAAGGAAACTGATAACTGCAAAATCAACAATATTGCCATCATGATAATCACCATCTTATGACAATAATTGGATAATTCCTAAATTCTTGGCTGGGACTCGAATTTCCAAAGAAGCCAATCAGAGATGTGATTCATTTGGTTTGTTCTTGTCCTGTATTATTCCTTGAAGAATAAAAACTGATCATAATCATGTAATCAAATAAAAGTTAAAGAAACAGCAGCAGCAATTTGGGGACATGATAATATGAGTTGTTTAACCCTGGTTCAACATCAAAATTTGTGTTCTCCCCCATCTGCTGTGGCATCTCTGTGGTGTTACAGGAGAAGTTCTGAATGAGAATAAGCATGCAATCAAATGCAAAATAAGAGAAAAACAGAGTTGGAATGCATGCGTTCTTTGTATGTTTTATCATCTAGCCCCCTAAATCATCTTTGTTGCTCTTCTCTGCACTCGACTCTCAACATCTTTTTTAAATTGTGGCTGCCAAAACTGGATGCAATATTCCAAGTGTTGTCTTACCAAAGCTTTATAAAATGGCATTAATACTTCATGTGATCTTAATTCTATCCCTCTATTATTGCAGCCTAGGACTGCAATAGCTTTTTTGGCAAGTTAAAGGGTATTTTTTTTAGCAATTACAGTTATTCTTGGGACAAAAATCCTAAACAAGCAAAGTTCCTGCACAGTCAAGATTCCCAATTCTAGGGAGGGATGGAAATGAACCCCATAGAAATTCCTCTTCATCTTTTCTTAGTCCTGAAGAGGGCACTCCAAAGTATGAACAAAAGGTCTATATGATGGTTCAGTCAAAGTTCCCTCCTTTTTATGTGCTTCCTAGAGTTTACAGAAGGTGTACAATAGAGGTGGGCGATGTCAGTATGAATATTTGTATCTTGCCTTCACTTTTCTACTTTGTGACCAAAATAGGCAGAGCCTTTTTCGTCAATACCATTGTTCTGACCCAAATTATGCTGGCAAGGCAGAGGTTAAAGAGGGTCTGTTTATTGTTCATTTATCACAGTGACAAATGAGCCACCAATGGCACCAGTGAAGATCCACCCCAACCTTCAGTTTTCCCTCAGTCTGGATTCACAAACTAAATCCTAACTGACTAATGAGGCAAGAGAGAAGTAACAATACCACAAGTCCAGAGTTTCAACAATCAAAGTACAGTCCAAGACTACAAAATCTGAGAGCCAAGTACAAAGTCCACAAGAGTCCAAGATTCAGAAGTCGAAAACACAGTCCAACATTCAAGAAAGAGGATCCAGGAAAGCCGGGAAGGTGCACATCAAACAAGCTGTTATTCCCAACAAACACACTTTCCCCCAGCGTCTAGTTAAATCACCCTTCCCTAGCTATTCCTTGGGAGAAAGGAGTCAGGCTGCTTTCTCACAAGCAGTCTTGCTGACTTCCTCTGTGTCTCTCTCCACTCTGCTCTCCTCACTGGTGGATCGAGTGTGTGTGTGGGGGGGTAGCTGTTCCCTGTCAGAGGTGGTCTGGAGCTTATCATCTCTGCTGGGTCTCTGCAGTTGATCTGCTCCTGCAGGCGGCTCTCTATCCAATTGGCCCATCCCCTCCCCGCCAGATGGCCTGGGACTGCCTCATCCTCAGACCTTGGACTTTCCACTCAGAGAGGACCGTGTCCTCCCTGTTGAACAGGAGTCCTGGTTTCAACTCCTCCTCCTCTGAACCGGGATGTGACAAAGCCATGACAACCATGCATTTTCTGCAGATATGGATAATATTTTATTTCCAGAACGATGAATGAGTATCTAAATGTCAAAGAAACTGGCAGTAGGCACGCCCTTCATTTTGGATATATTTTTCAGCCATGCTGTGCTTTCAAATATGTGCCATGATGATACACTGGTTAGAATGCAGTACTGCAGGCAGTTCAATTCTCACCGGCTCAAAGTTGATTTCAGCCTTCCATCCTTCCAAGGTTGGTAAAATGAGGGCCCAGATTGTTGAGGGCAATATGCTGACTCTGTAAATTCCTTAGAGAGGGCTGTAAAGCACTGAGGAGTGGTACATAAGTCTACATGCTATTACTATTGCTAAAGGTTTGTAGCTTGAATGCATGAAGGATTCATGTACAGTACTGTTCTGAATTATCTTCCAGAATTTTTTTAATGTTTTATTATTGCTTTTAAGTTCAATTAAAATTATAGCTTTTAAGTGCAATTGAAACTTTCAAAGCAGAGAAGAGGAGAGGAAGAAAAGGGAAGTAGGCAAGAAAGAGAAGAAAGGGAGAAAGAAGGTAGAGAAGAAGGAGTGTGGATACAGTGAAAGGGGAAATGGGCGAGTAACACCAAAAGTCATGTGTATGTATTTATTCCATTTTATTAAAAGTATCTTATATATAAGAATGTAAAAAGAATGTATGTTAACATCTGATAAATATCACAATATATGTATGGGGGAGAGTTTGGAAAAATAAAAAAATATTTAAAAAAAACTTTCAAAGTATTTTACAGGCAGTTATATCATTAATAAATTGACTGCAATGTCTAGCTGCTGATGCTTCCAAAATTGCTATCAAATTGCCCCTGAAAGACATGAGAAAACTGTGGAATAGATTTTCATCTAAATTTTCTCCAAGCTAATTCAATCAAGAAACAATGACACAAACAAAGGAACAATCTTGCCTTAATTTCGACTTGTTCAACTTGTTCCCTGATATGCTTCTATTCTGTGCTGATAATGCTAAGTAGTATGTCTCTTGGGCACTTTAAGAGAATTCAGATGAATAAGAAGGACACTAAGAATTATTATAAGGGCACTGAAAACTAAAATCTACAAGGAGAGAAGGAACTGAATATATCTAGCCTTGAAAAAAGCTGAATGATGGGGGATGTAACTATTTTTCAAGTTCCTTAACAGATACCATAGAAAAGAATGTCAATAGTTTATTTTTAATATTGCAGACTGTAAGATATGGAATAATAGTCTTAAATTATAGTAAAGCAGATTGTGGTTGAATATTTAGAAATGCATTCTAAGAATAAGAACAGTTTGATAGTACTCAGGAGCCTTGGGAGATGTTGGATGATGTTTGATTGCTAGAAAGGTTCAAAAGAAGCTGGACTACCACCTGTCAGAGATGGTCTTCCAACTTGTTATTTTTATTGAACCATTTCTGCACATCTCAACCTTTGCCTTGTTTCCTAGTTACCTAATTCCAGCTGATCATATTTTTAAAGATGCATGCATCCTGGTTTTCCTTATAAAATTAAAAGCGTTCTAAAAGCCTACATATGAACATGAAAAACTGAACTGGATGGAGCCATTTCTTCAGTTTCTGTTTGTCTTTACATTCATGCACTGTAGAGTGAAACTTACGTATATCTCACATCCCTGCTCATGCTCAAGACATATTTACCTTTCCATGGTGTCTATTTTGAGTTGCTTTTTGGTCTGTGGTGTTGAGGAAGAAGGTTAATCTATTCTATTTCTTCTCTGGCTTGCCTTTGTAGTAATCATGGTTTCTCCTTAACAATTTATGGAATAACATAATCTCTCACAGTGCTAACTAATGTAGCAGTAGCCATTAATAAAATAATGGCTGTGGCAGAAACACACCAAACAGATGAAAAAATAACAAATATTAATAACAAAATTATGGAATGTATCCCATTAAGTTGCAAAGCTGGACACTAGCAGCTCAAATATCCAAAGATCTGCTGAGCCAACATTAATCCAATTGAAATTGTCTTGTATCCTTTTGAATCAGTGTTGACTCCTGGAGACTGCCTGCAGTTTTTGGCCTGCAAGTTCCTGCAGTTTTCTTGGCAAGATTTCAGAAGTGATTTGCCATTGCCTGCTTCTTAGGGCTGAGAGAAAATGACTAGGCCAACATCATTCAACTGGCTCTATATATAAAGCAGAACTAGAACTCATGATTTCCTGGTTTCTAGCCTGTTGTCTTATACCACTATACCATGCTAGTTCTTAATTTCAGCATAAGCAAGATTCAAAAATAAGGGGAGGGAATGAAGGAGAAGAATTAGGAAGTAATGAGTGGCTAATCCAGATGGGTTTGTATATACCATAAGTTAACTGCTGCCATTGCCCCATCTTTTTTGGGGGGGAGTGGGGGGGGTTCTCTGCTGACAGATCCCAAAATCAGAGCCTTATGTTGCCTAATCACTCTGTGGACAGGTCTTCCAACTCCACTGGTTGCAGGTGCTTCATTCCAGCAGTGGACATTATGTGCTGGCAACATTGATTTGTACCCAGTCCTAACACACCCTGGGCAACACATCTTTGAATTGTGACTATGCTCCTAAAAAGCTTGAAAGAGAATTTAAACAATTCATGAAAAAACAGCAGCCAGTGGCTACAACTCAGATTGGTTTTGGTAATATATTTGCTGGCATGTACACATGATATAATAGTGTGTGTAAGGCATTCATGTTTCTTCAGATACTTTCCAAAGCACCAGAGGGCAGGACAAGAAACAATGGATGGAAACTAACCAAGGAGAGAAGCAACCTGGAATAAGGAGAAACTTCCTAACAGTGAGAACAATTAACCAGTGGAATGCCTTACCTTCAGAAGTTGCAGGTGCTTCAGAGTTTTTTAAGAAGAGACTTCTTGTTTGAAATTGTATAGGGCTTCCTGTTTGAGAAGGGGGTTGGACTAGTAACAGTGTTTCTCAACCTTGACAATTTTAAGGCATGTGGACTTCAACTCCCAGAATTCCACAGCCAGCAATCAATCAATCAGCTCTATTCTGAATTGATTAAAAAAACAAATCACAACTCTGTGAGTTAGGTTGGAGGCAAAAGGAATGGCCAATCAAAAATGCAGGATGTGGAAAATGTTCCAGAAGGAAGGGAAATCTTATAGCTTAACTAAAATGGCTTTTTAAATAAACTTGCTTCTTTTACAGCGAGTATTGAAATTAGCAGCTTTGTGCAGTAAAACTAAACAAAACACCCCATTCTAATGTTTTCCTGCACTTTGGGCAAAAGCCAGAATTTTCAGGAGGAAGAGAACTTGGCAATTAGCCTAAACACCAGTGGAGAGAGGCTGATATTATGTCTCCTGGATTTATATTTTTAAATGCTACCTTATTAATTTCTATATAATTGTTGCAGCAACCATCAGAAAATATCAATCAGTAAATGAACTAATAATTATCACGCTCGGGACAGAAAGAGAACTAATTGACTTAACAGTATATTTCATGGGTATGTTGCTATAATTAATTAACTCTCTTTTTTTCTTTGTAATGAGTGACTTGACAATGCCGAAGTCAAGTGCTTTAAGGAAAAGAAAAGAAAGCCACATGAAGGGGAAACTTTATTTACATATCAAATGCTCTTTGTGAAATTCATGTTTTATAGGGAACATTAAGCTGCCAAAAGAAAAAGTTCAAAAAGAAGGAAAAACTGAGCACTAGGACAAATTAAAGAGTTAAGTGACTCATCCCTACATTGTTTTTATCTATAGTGTTTTGGTTTTTCAATATATTTTTTTCTGTAATTCAGGACAAAGTCTTTAAAGATAGATACAAGCATGATCTAAGACTAAGCAGGAGAATCCACTATAGACATGACATGCTAAAACTGTTCCAGCAGCCAATTCTTCCATCAAGCCGTCTTCATGGATTATGTGTATGAAGTTGTTTTATACAAACATCTATGTAAATACTATGAACAGAGGTTTACCTATGATTCTCCAATATTCTTTCTTTCATCTCCAGAACCACCAGAGTAGATGGGGCTTCTTCCTTTTTTGTATTTTTTGAGTTGGAGCATGTGAGGTTAAGAAGCGAAATAGATATCTTGCAAGAACTCACTTTATTTCTTAACAACTCCCCTCCCTGATCTGCTCTTCCAAATGGATTTTGTTTTCTCCCATTTTGAGAATGTGACCATGAATGTTTTGTGCAAAGTTTGACTGACTCTTAAACTAATATAAATTGCACATTTCTGGTCTACAATGCAAGATGTTTGACTGTTTTCTAGACCTATTGACTCATTGTTTATGATATCCATATGAACTACAGCCGAGTCCTGGTATAGGCACTGATAGACTGAGCTGGAGAAGAACCCTAATTGTCTTGGATTGATAGAAGACCATCTGATTTAACTTCAAATGAATCTTAATGTCATCTAGGAAATCTGAATCTTCAATGGCAATAATTGAAAATCAATAAAGCAGTGTCATTGTTTTCTGTTTGACATAATTAAATATATTTGCAAGCATGATAGACATAAATAGGATTTAGATCAATGGATGGATGGGGTTTTTTCCTACAGGTCTTTTCTATTTATTTAAGAATATTTTTTTTAAAAAAAATCATAGTAGAACTGGACAAATTATGGGATCCTTGGTGCTCTCTGAGCTTGGTTGCTTTCTTGCAGATGTTTCATTACCAAGCTAGCTTACATCATCAGTACTAGTGATCTAGCATTGATGATGTTAGTTTGGTAATGAAATGTCTGAACTAAAACAACCAAGCTCAGAGACCACAAGGATCCCACATTTCAACCCTGAACTACAAATATTCTTGTCTATTGGACAAACCATTCAAGCAAAACTAATATTTCCACAGAATAGATCAGTGAAGAAGATGCAGCCATATCACAAGAGTAATAGTTATAGGCAATAAATAGTATCTAAATGGTACAGGTAGTTTAATGTGTTAAATTCCTCTTGAATAATTAGGCTGTTTGCGACTATAAAATGTCTTGGGACAACAACAACAAAAAGGCAAAATTTAATGAAAGGTCTGCAAGAAAACCATCAACCTAGAGACTACCAAGGACCCCACAAGCACAATTTAATATTCTAAGAAGGAAGAAGTGTCATTAGGATCAACCAGAGCTGGTTTTAAGCTAAGGCCAAACAGGTATTGGCTTAGAGAACCAAAGATTAAGGTGTGCCAATATTGCTCCTTCTTCTGAATATTCTAAAAACGCAAATCTTTGCATTGGCAGGGGGTACCATATACTTTGGAGTCCAGTACTGGAATAACTAATCTATTCCAAGCCAATTGAGATTGGAGTGTACCAGATGCAAAGACAGCATTCATAATAGATGCTTATCCTGCTTCTGGTTGTATATCTTCCAAAACAATCTGTTCTATAGTTTACTTTTACTGTCAGGCCACTTTTTATAATGTTCTGCTACAGTTGGTTTCTGGAAAAAAATACACCCATTGGCTATATTCCTATTCTTTGCTACTGCAACTTCCATTATGTTTTGATTCTTTAACACCAAATGTACCTAACCTTTTAAGACATTCTTCTAAATACTGATTTCCAGATCTCACTAGCTTTGATTGC